CCTTTGCAATTAAATAGTAGATTACTTGGATAATCCTTTGTAACTGGTCATGCCTATCTTCTCATGTTGCCCCTCGACCCTGGTGTCATTGCAGTAGCTGCCTCATTTCGCTCATGAGTTCCTTCAGTGTCTAGAAGCAGCAGAAACCTCACAGCTTCCCTGGAGTGGGGGGAAAGGGTGAAAGCTACTTCTCTCTGTCCTGAGGCTGGCAGGGTGGCTGCAGCCTTGAATCTTGGACATACTGCCCTACCTCCGCCCTCTGCTTAGACTCACAGCTATGTGAGCTTTCAGTAGTAGCCTCCTCCCAAGAAATGCTGTGGTTTGATGAAGTAATAGATGACTTTTTCTTTTTTTTTCTTTTTTTTTTTTACAAAAGCTGTTCTCTTTGGTTGCTTTAAGCTGAGGGATTGCTTAACTCAAAGGATTGTTGTTGGAATGCAGAAGGCTTTTGTGCCAAGTCATATAACCCAAATCACTTTTCTTTTTTTCTTGAAAAGACTAGTTTTGTTAGTTGCTTGGTAACTGGAGGATAGAAAGACTTAACTCATTCAGCACAGAGAGCTCCCGGTTTGAACTCTATTAGGCCATCACCTAATGAGACATATCTGAAGTTGGTGTGTGTCGAGGGCCTGTTCCTTGCACTCTCTAATCCGTGCAGCATTACGCGTGGGAAGTGATAAGTACATAGAAGTTACGTGAGCTGTCCAGGATTGAAATTGTACAGAAATGTGCTTAAAAGGGCTTTTGTCTGTCTTTTCTTCTGTAAAGAGTGGCAGTAGCTTCCATTATGACATTTCCAAAAGGCCCAAAATTACACCTCTTATTGGAGTGGGAGGTTCAGGGTGGTAACTGTGGCATAGTAGAAGGAAAGAACATTTACTTTAGAGCTGGAAACCCTGTGACTTTGGGCTAAGCCGTTGTGGTCTGACCCCCAGTTCCCTAATGTGTGAGTATTGTGTATTACCTACATGCCTCTGCACCACTCTGAAGATTAAATGAGAACAGTGTTGTAAACTGTGGAGGATTTAGAGGATGATCACTGTATCCTAATGCAGGCCCAGTGGTTACAAGTAGAGAATTAATTCAGTAACATTGAGGCCTTTGACTGGGATTGTATGGGCCAGAGAGGAGGGACAGAGAGATTTTTCTGCAGAACTGGACTAAAAATCCATCTGTGGGGGTAATGTGCTCTTGGCCAATATGGCATTTGATGACAAAGCACTTGTGAATCAGGTAGCCTAATATAAAAAACTGCATGGGGCTGGGCACGGTGGCTCACGCCTGTAATCCTAGCACTTTGGGAGGCTGAGGTGGGCGGATCACAATGTCAGGAGTTCGAGACCAGCCTGGCCAACATAGTGAAACCCTGTCTCTGTCTCTACTAAAAATACAAAAAAAAAAAAAAAAAAAATAGCAGGGCGTGGTGGCATGCACCTGTGGTCCCAGCTACTTGGGAGGCTGAGGCAGGAGAATCTCTTGAACCCCGGGGGGCAGAGGTTGCAGTGAGCCAAGATCACACCACTACACTCCAGCCTGGCGATGGAGTGAGACTCTGTCTCAAAAACAACAACAAAAACTGCATGGGATCCTCACAGATGCCTGCTGGCATCTCAAGGTAAGGGATCAGGCTTCTGGAGACATTTCCTCTCATCCAAATCCTTATTCCTCTTTGCTGGCCTGTCTCCAGACTTCCCTTTTGTAGAGAAAGCAGGGAATACTGCTGTCTTCCCTTCCGAGACCATGTACATCCTTAAGAGTACCTCAGACTTCCCACAACATGTTATTTCTAGTTCCTCATCCCATAAATATTTGTTGAATTACTAGACAAACTGCTCAGCTTCATCTTCCAATTCCTTTTATGTGATGAGTGCTTCAGAGCTTATAGAGGGCTTCCACATGTGTTATCTCCTTAGAGTAGAGGTTGGGCTGGGATCTCTGGCTTTGATTGGTGACGGTTAGTGTGGTCTCAAAAAGAAAGAATGCCTGGACTCCTTGCTCCTCCTTTTCCCAGTGTCTCTTTTTGGCAAAAGGCTTGAGTTCTTTGTGTCATTCTACTTGGGTTCCGTTGTCCCACAGTGGCTGTCTGTGTGGCTACAGAGTAAAGGCTGTCGTTATGTAATGTCTTTAGTGACCGCACACAAGATCTAAAAGAAGTAGCTTTTTTTTTTGCCTGAATTTAAGAAGATTTTTGTGCTTTGGCTTGAAGCACTGGTTGTTGCTGCGGTGGTTTGGCGGTTCATATCTGGTCACTGGCCTTTGATTTCTGGAACCTTTAGAAAGAAGCTGCCTTTTCTCCTCTCCCTGACCACTGATTGCTGAAACCACAAGACATATGGAAATAGATTTCAGGGACTAGCCAAAAGGCATTCTGGTAGTTTGACTCACATGGTTTCAAAGGCTACCATTTTCTGATTGTGTCTTGTTACACCCTATACAGAGATACTACTAGTACTTAGCTGTGTTAGGAATATTTAGTATCTTTAAGTTTTGCTTTATTTAACATTAACATCTTAGAATGGGCGTTCAAAGAGAAGTTTAGGACAAGTCCCTTTCTAGATACAAGCTTTCACCTAGATGTTTAGGAAGTTAAAACAACAACAATAATAGAGAATCAGCTTGATATTTTGCCTTTTACATCTGAACTCTTTTGATATTGTTTTGATAGGTCCAGCACTTGGGATAGAACCGTTTATCTGCTGTAAATAGCTAAATGTTGGTGTTTATATAGTAGTGTTAGGGAAGCACTATGAAGGAGGAACTCACAGAATTCTGATAAAGGCCAGTTGTACATAAAATAGATATAATAATGCCCAGGACTTTTGTGTTGCTCTAAGGAGATAACACATGTGGAAGCCCTTTATAAACTGAAGCACTGCTCACACAAGAGAAATTGGAAGGTGAAGCTCAGCAGTTTGTCTAGTAATTCAACCAATATTTATTGAGTGCCTACTGTGTGTTACCCTGTGGCAGGTACTGAAATATGCCTCTTTTGGAACTTCTGCATTGTTGCCCTTAGGTTCCCAGAGATACTCCCATGCTTATAATTCCTTTTACTTGTAACTTTTTGGAGAGGGAGTAATAGAAATCAGGACATGGAAAGTTGTCTGGATGGTAGGAAACCTTTCTTGCTAGTGCCTCTGTCTTCTTTACTATTCTGTTTTTGAAATTCTACCTCTTCAGGTGTTTGGCAGAAAATGGCCACTTCATGCTTTTCAACTTTATCTCATCTCCAGTTCCATTCACAGGCAGAAGAGAAACGGTTCCATTTGGGTCCTGATTCTAAGTTCTTAGGAGAAGAAATCTGGTTGGCACAACTAGGTCACATGTCTAAACCTGGTCCAACCAAGTGCTTGTAGTAAGGGGATGAGAGTTATGTAGTTTCTACTTGGCAGCTGAGGGTCCTGTCAGTTGGGGTGGAGGAGAGGAGACAATCATCCAATATCATGGTGAACATGACTGACAAGATCCTTGACCTCACAGAGCTTATAGTCAGTCTGTCAGGAAAGAAAGACATTTGTATTAGTCCGATCTTACGCTGCTAATAAAAACATACCCGAGACTGGGTAATTTAGAAAGGAAAGACATTTAATTGACTCACAGTTCAGCATGGCTGGGGAGGCCTCAGGAAACTTACAATTATGGCGGAAGGAGAAGCAAACACCTCCTTCTTCATTGGGTGGCAGGAGAGAGAAGTGCAGAGTGAAGGCAGGGGAAGCCCCTTATAAAAACCATCAGATCTTGTGAGAACTCAGTCGCTATCATGAGAACAGCATGAAGGTAACCACTCCCATGATTCAATTACCTCTCACAGGGTCCCTCCTGTGACACATGGGGATTATAGGAACTACAATTCAAGATGAGATTTGAGTGAGGACACAGCCAAACCATATCAACATTACACAAATGATTGTAGGGGTGGTATGGGTTGTATGACAGCTAGCCCTAAACTTGAGCAGGAGATCCTGGAAACCCCTGCAAGGAATGGCGGTGAGTAGGGTTAACCAAATGAGGAAGGGGGATGATGTGGATCCTGGGAGGGCAGAGGTTGGTGGGTGAGGAATGAATGTTTTAGGCAGAAGTGGCAAAGGAAAGAAAATGCCCAGCAGTAAGAAAAAATCTGGCCATTTTGCAATATAGAGAACCAAATCTTTAAAATGTACAGTGGCTTGCTTATGTGGCCATTCTCTTTGACTTAGACTGGAAGTTCTTTGAGGGCAGGGACCATCTTTTTTTCTATTGCCTTTGGAACCAGTTGGCATGTGTAGAATTTTGTGTGACAGGGCACGTTTAGTTTCGTTGGGCAGTTTCTGAGTACAGCTTCTTTCCAGCTTATTTCTGCTCTGAAATTTTATATGTCCATCACCATTCACCGGAAAGATGGATTATATACCTTACAGAGTGTGCTTTTGATATGGGTGGCTGTATCCCCACCCAAATTTCATCTTGAATTGTAGCTCCCATAATTCCCTCGTGTTGTGGGAGGGACCTGATGGGAGATAATTGAATCATGCGGGTGGTTTCCCCCATACTGTTCTCGTGGTAGTGAATACATCTCACAAGATCTGATGGTTTTATCAGGGGTTTTCCCTTTCGCTGGGCTCTCATTTCTCTCTCTGGTCTGCTGCCATGATTGTGAGGCCTCCCCAGCCATGTGGAACTGTGAGTCCATTAAACCTCTTTTTCTTTATAAATTACCCAGTCTCGGGTATGTCTTTATCAGCAGTGTGAAAATGGACTAATACAGCTTTCTATCCCTCCAGATTGGCAAAGAGGGTTTTAAGGGAAATTGTGGTCATTTTTGGAAGGATCAAGAATGGTCAGTTTTTCTTTCCTGTATAAGTACTGCTTTTATATTATTCCTACCCCCACCAAGCTCCTGAACAGATGTTTCAATGGGCATTGTTGGCTATGCTTTTGTTTTGAAAAACTTGAAATATTATTGAAAGAGGAGATGGTAGAAAAACCCCATAATTGATTCTAATATATATTTAATTTGGCAGAACTTGAGAGAGACTTGCTGGGATAAGGCGGGACATTTCTTTGATCTCCCAGACTTTTTATCATGGAAGGCAACAGGTGTCACAGCACGGTATGTTAATTACAAGTTGGATTGTGTTTGCATTCTTCCATTCTCGAATGTCTGTGTATATATTGCTTTCTTAACTCTCTTTGACTGGATATACTGTTGGTACATCTGCATGTGATTTTGCATACTTGAAACATCTTGAATCTATCTTCCACCTCCACTGCACATGCCCAAACACTGTTGTTCCTATTAGCCCTGGAATGTGAGTATCCAAGGTGAAGACCATTCGCTAAAATTGTTCACGTTTGAAAGAGATGCAAAAAATCCAGAGTGAAATGTGGGTTTTTCCAAAGGCACTTTTTACATGATGAATAAAAGGAAAAAATAAACACACACACACACGCGTGCGCACACACACAGAGTCATGCGTTTCTTAAGGACAGTGATACATTCCGGGAAATGTGTTGTTAGGCGATTTCATTATTGTTGCAAACATCATAGAGTATGCTTTCACAAATCTAGATGGTGTATTCTACTGCACACCTAGGCTGTGTGATATAGCCTATTGCTGCTTGGCTACAAACCGGTAGAGTGTGTTACTGTACTGAATACTGTAGGCCATTGTGCACAATGGTACTTATTTGTGTATCTAAACATAGAAGAGATATAATAAAAACACAATGTAAAAGATAAAAAATAGCATACTTACATAGGGCGCTTATAATGAATGAAACTTGCAGGACTAGAAGTTGCTCTGGGTGAGTCAGTGAGTGAGTGGTGATTGAATGCAGAGGCCTAGGATATTACTGTACACTTCTATAGACTTTATAAACACTGTACATGTAGGTTACACGAAATTTATTTTAAAAATTTGTTTAATAATTATCCTTTGCTTACTGTAGCATTTTTTACTTTATAAACTTCTAAACTTTCTTACTCTTGTAATAACACTTATCTTAAAACAAAAACACATTATACAGCTGTACACAAATACTTTCTTTATATTCTTATTCAATGAGCTTTTTTCTATTAACTTTCTTTTTCACTTTTTAAACTTTTTTGTTAAAAACTGAGATACAAACATACACATTATCCAAGGCTTACACAGGGTCAGGATCATCAAGATGTCACTAGGTGATAGGAATTTTTCAGCTCCATTAATATCTTTTGGGACCACTGTCATATATGCAGTCTGTTATTGACTGGAATGTCATTGTGTGATGTATAACTCGTCTGTGTGTGTGTGTGTGTGTGTGTGTGTGTGTGTATGTGTATTTTGGCCTCTAATGTTAACTAGGAGATTCAAGGAAGCTGATTTAACTGGATGGATGTGTTATATACTTGTTTGCTTTTTATGTAAATGTACCTCAGTTATCCCATACTGTAGAAGTATATATGTTGAAGTCAACTATTTTTCAGTAAATTATGAATGTTAAAAATAGAGCATATGCTACACAACAGAGACTTGTATAAAATATTCATTGAGTGTAAAATTGTGGCTGCTATAATTAACAGAGTGAGTGTATGTGTGGGGATATATAGACAGGTTGGATATGAAATCTCTAAGTATGACAAGCCTCTTGTCATGATGACCTCAGATTTAAGGAGATGTATAAGGTCAGGGCAGGTCTTCTCATCTGAAAAAGATTTAGAATCTGGGTTGAACAAACCAGTGAGGAAGGAAATCATTTCCTAGAGGATAGATAAACCTCTAATAATAGGGGAGGCAGGTATTGTATCTCAAAATCAGCTTATTCAGAGAGGGGCCAAATCCTACCCTCTTTCCTTCTTGTTTAAACTCAAGGGAAGCCGGAAATAGCAGTACCATTTCTCCTATCTCATTTTTTTTTTTTTTTGTAGTGAGTTGATAGGGTGTGATAATTCAGCAGCAGGGGCTTCTAGCAGGGAGATAGCAGAGAACGTTTCACAAGCATGTCATTCTTAATGTCAGCAACCCCGAACCTCCTTGCGGTTAAACAATCATTAGCCAAAGATCCCGGGGCAGAGAGATGCATGTGCTTGTGAAAATGGCCTCTGCAAACCTCAGGTACATGCCATCTCTGGCAGGAGATCCCTGGATGAGTGGTGTGAGCTTTACCCTGGAAGGTATAATTAGTCACCATTATAGTTATCACCAGTGGGGAGGGCAGTGTGTAGGTGAAGATATCATCTTGGGCATTCCTCTTTTGGTGTGACGTTAATTGTTCAAAGTTATTTCTGAGAGAATCTTTCTCTAGGTTTTTTCCATCATTGTATATCCATGAAAGAAATGTTTTGATCATTTTGGCCAAATGGTCTTGTTTGTTAGTCAAGCAGTGCTAGATGTCATGTATATAGGCAATACCCCATTGGCCTGCAAACCCAGAGGACTCAAAGCTGGAACTAGAGATGGAGGAGAACCTGACTTTCCTTCTCTTTTTCTTTGATGTTGTACTCAGCACTTTGACTGCCTCCCTGATTCTTTCTGATGGCTCTAGGTATTCTGTGTCCCATTTCCTGGTTTCCAGTGCCATATTCAGGGACCAAGGAGAGGGCTTTTTGAAGCTAGCTGTGGCTCAGATAGAGTTAACTGTGGTGGCATGCATACACACAGTGGACTCACAATATGACTTACCAGCTTTGATTTTACCACACTAGTTGTGTGACCTTGGGCAAACCTCTTCCCTTCTTTGAGTGTCACTCTTTTTGTCTATAGCATGGGGATTGTTATATCTATCTTGCAAACTTCTTGTGAGAATCCTGTTAAAGCAATTTTTCCAAATTAGTTGGATTATAGGAATTACTTGAATGATTTTTTCAAAACGCATATCCCCAGATCTTCTAGTTTTCAACCTAATGAATCAGAATCTCCATGGGAGATGTGAGAATTTGTTTGTTAACAAGTGCCCAGGTAGTATATGATCAGGTGCCTTTGGATAACACTGCCTAACAGAATATGCATGAAAGTAGGATGTGACTCTGAGAGATGGGAAGCGTTTTAAGGGCCTAATGAATTTTTTGAATTTAAAAGTTGTAAACAAAAAATACAATTCTAAGGCCCCCTGCCATCTGAATGGACCCCTTCTCTTGGCCAAAGGCATTCCAATGTTAACCTGAAAAACCAGTTCAGGCCATGATGGGAAGGTGGGGGTCAGACATTCCTCCTTATACAGTCCTCCCTTTTAGAATTCAGGAAAAACCAACTAACACTAACATCAAGACCTTAAGTCTCATAAGAAATGTTTACAATCTATTCTCTCTGAAGCTTAAGTGGAGGCTTCATCTGCATAATAAAACCTTGGTCTCCACAACTCCTTATCCTAACCCAGACATTCTTTTCTATTGATAATAACTCTTTCAACCAATTGCCAATCAGAAAATTTTTAAATCTACCTATGACCTGGAAGCCCCTGCTTTGAGTTGCCCATCCATCCAGATCAAATCAGTATTAACCTTACATGTATTGATTGATGTCTTGTGTCTCCCTAAAATGTATAGAAGCAAGCTATGCCCCGACCACCTTGAGCACTTGTCATCAGGACCTCTTGAGGCTGTGTCATGGGTGCATCCTTAACCTTGGGAAAATAAACTTTCTAGATTGATTGAGATCTGTCTCAGATACTTTTGGGTTCACAAAGTGGAGGGCGTCTTGTTAACTTACCAGAACATGCTTGGGGGCTTCTGGCCTTGCCTTTGACAATCTCAAACCTTGAGGAAGCAGAAAGTTTAATGCTCAGAAATGATTTATTGGCTGTCTGGTCATCCCTGCCATTTTTATTAGCTGTGACACTCATGACTCATTCTATTTTCATTAGTATAAGTTAATCATCCCCTTCCCTCACACACCCCATATTTGTGAGCACCTTCAGAGACCTCCCTTCCCATTTCCCTCTCTTCCAGAGAGCAAAGCCTGTGGACCTTGGGTACCAGGTTCCTCTTGCAAAGGTGGTTGCCCTTTCCCCTGACCCACTTACAGCTTGCATCTATCTTTCTCTCTCCTATTTACTCAATATTTCTCCCTTCTGTATTTCTACTTGCATATTAAGGTGAAACAAGGAGCCCCTCTGAGCTTTCTTGATTATAGATGGAAATAATGACAACACCTGCTCCATGGGGTTATTGTAGAGAAAGCTTGTAACACAATGCTGAGAAAGCTTTTTAAAGGTGTTAGCGATTTCATTTAGTTCCCTTTCTCTATCAGTTTTGGCAATGAGTCTTTACATTAAGCGTAGAGGAAAGAGGGAAGTCCTTGTGGTCAGACTGACCTTGTTTCAGTGTCTCCATCATGTGCTGTCTACAAGAACCTGGAGCAAATTATTTACCTCCCTAAGCCTTATTTCCTCATCCATAAGCTCTCTCAGGGCTATTAAAAGAGTTAGAGGTTCTCTGGGTAAAACATGTAGCACATAATATTTACACAATAACGGGTTCTTTTAATAAAAAATCCACATTGTCTGTTCCCTTTTCTAGAGTAAGGAAGATGAGGGTCTGAATTTGAATATGCCAATTCCAAAAAAAACTTTGGGTAATAAAACACCAGCCTGGCATCCTCTGGGCTAAGGAGAGGTTGAAATTTGGTGTTTATTTGGCTCTTACATGTGATTATTTTGGGAGGCTTTGGGGAAAATGAGTGCCAAAAAGGCTAGAGAGTCTTTTTAAAAAATATATTTTAGTAGAGTTAAGACTAACAAGTGACTGAATTTCCCGTTGTCTAAAAGCTTTCAAACTTGTTTTTGGCAATGACAATGTGTAAGAACACCTCTCCTTTCTCTCTTCCTTCTCCATTTTCCTCTCCTCTCTTTCAGGTTTTGTTTTTGTTTTTTTCCCCCATTCTCCCCTTTTATTGTTCTCATCCTCCGAAATATGGCAGCTACTTTTGTTTATCTGGGTCACTGAGAAAATCACCAATTGGCCCATGATTACTTTGTAATTCAGCTCCATTCTTTTTCTTATATTAATGAAAATAAGTATTGCTATTTTTGTTAATAATAATAATGGTAATTATCATTTATTGAGTGCCTTTCCTTTATCTGTGCTAGGCATATTTAGCAAATGTTAGCTCTGTTAGTCCTCATGACCATCCT